CTTGGTACAATATTTTGAAGGTGATTTTTTCATTGACATTTTTCTAAATAACAACAGTCTAGCAGGGACAAAGAGAGTGCATGTTTATATGAATCTTAAGGTATTTATGGTAAGTTCAGAATTCAACTAGGGTAGGGGGTCATTGTACTTGCACCATATGATAAAAATCAAGGAGTGAAGATGATAATCAACATAAATGGAGATTAACAAACACATTTAACTCTCCATTGAATTATAAGGAAACCAGTGAGAACTCTATAGTCATGAGTTAATTTTATCGGTATATCATGTAATCTTCTTGAAACATTAGTTACCGAAGATTTAGATGGGCTTCCTTTCTTGATAGTTCCTTCCATATTTCTATAGTTTCCAGAGGATATTAGAATGAAATCCTGAATCAATTCGACTAGAAAATGATAAATGGATTTAAGTTAATTTCCGTTTTTTTAAAGAACTTTAGTCACCTACAGCCTTTTAATGCTAGTTAAGACTAAGATTGAGTAAATATTTAACATATTTTCAATCAATAATTTTGATGATTGTGTTGTTCTATTTTATTTTGCATCTTCAAGATAAACTTCCGTAATGGGGTACCTAATCTCATTATATATTATGAATGCTTTTGGAAGAAGCATGCAAGTGATCCTTGCGGAAAAAAGTCAATGTTGTCGATGAAATTAAATTACCCTCTAGATCTTGATCATATAGTTTTCCTTTAGCTAAAAGTGGCTATCACTTGTCATTTAATTATTTTTGGATCGGCTTAGAAGGGATATCACTTGTCGTTTAGTTATATTTGGATCAGCCAAGATGCAGATATCACTTATCATTTAGTTATATTTGGATTGCCTTAGATGGGGTTTTCACTTGTCGTTTAGTTATATTTGGACTGACTTAGATGGGAATATCACTCGTTGAACATATCAAGTTTACATATGGAAAGATTAATCAACCACCGAATACACAATCAAATAAAAAGACAAAACAGGTGTTTGATTGTGATGTTGACCAATAGAGTGATGATGAGTCTGATGAAGAGGGTGATCCAAATGAGGTAGATTTGTGGAAAAAGAGGAGTATTTTCTTTGAGTTACCTTATTGGAAGGATCACATTTTGAGTCATAATCTTGATGTAATGCACATTGAGAATAATGTTTGTGAGAATATTATCGGCACCATTCTCAATGTCAACAGAAAATCTAAAGATAATAATGTAAAGAGTCGACTTGACTTAGTCGACATTGGAATTTGGCATGATCTTCATCCACAATTACATCCTAATGAAAAATATTTCTTGTCGCCTTCTATTTTTGCGATGTCGAAGAAAGAAAAAGAAGTGTTTTGCACGGTGTTGAAGGATATAAAGGTCCCAGATGGGCATGCATCAAATATATCTTGATGTGTCAGTGTTAAAGGTCGAAGACTTTATTCTTTAAAGTCACATGATTATCACATATTAATGCAAGATTTACTGCCAGTAGCTTTACGCGGTTGCATGTCTAGTAAAGTGACATCTTGTATCATTGAACTTTCTAATATAATGAAAGTTGTGTGTGGGAAAGTTATGATGGTTGAAGAACTTGAGAAACTACAAGATTGAGATGTCTTGACTTTATTCAACTTAGAGAAGATATTTCCACATTCATTTTTCACAATTATAGTGCATCTGCTAATTCATCTTCCTCACGAAGAAAAAGTTGGTGGACTAGTTTTCTATCGATGGATGTACCCTACAAAGAGGTGTTAATTGAATTATATGTATTAAATGACTAGTTATTATACATTTTCATCAAACCTATTTACATAGTATTTTGTTTTGTGTATAGGTTCTTGTGCAAGTTGAAGTTTTACTGTCGTAATAAGCGTTATCTGAAAATATCAATTGTTGAAGGGTATTTGGCAGAGGAATGTATGAAATTTTGCTCTAGATATTTGGAAGATGTTGAAACAAGATTCAATGGACTAAATAGAAATGATGTGTTCAATACTATTAACTTAGCTAAGACTTATTTGTTTGGAAGTTATGGTGAACCACTCGGCAAAGTTAAAATTGCACACTTAGATGATACGTGTTGGGTACAAGCATACCAATATGTTCTTTTCCATCACGATTCAATAGATCCCTTTTGCATATAAGTTTTACGGACTAAATCCTAATGTATTTACTTAATCTTTTATATTTCTCATTCTTTAACGACGTAATATACTTTATAGTGAGTTTACAGAAGTCTTTAGACCTCGTGCACGCTCTCGAAGATTACATCAGCGACATATACATAAGATATTCACATAAACATTTCATGAATGGTTAGGGCAGACGGTAGGCAACTAAATCATTGCACATAGTTGTGAATGATATATAACTCTTGTTTTAATATATCGACATAAATGCTAATTAATTCACCTTTCAAGTGTAATAGGTTTAGAGTGGGAGAGAAGTTAGTAAAGATGTTAAATGGCTTTCTCAAGGTCCGAATAGAATTGTTTAAAGATATAATGCCTACCTCATTAATGGGTTCAGGTTCCACATGAAATCTCATGAAAGATTAAGGAGGACACAAAATTGTGGACTAGTTATTGCTTTTTCAACTACAAGTTATGCTAGTGCGAGGGACAATCATCCTTTGGAGGGAGATGTAGAATATTATGAAATTCTTATGGACATTATTGAGTTGGATTATTATGGAAAACGAAAGGTTGTGTTGTTTCGGTGTGACTGGGTTTATGTAAACAGTACTCGAGGCATAAAAATAGATAATTTTGGTTTTACAATGGTGAATTTCTCTCGATTAATTTACACTGGTCAACGATTAATGGATGAGTCATATGTATTTTCTTCTCAAGTCAAACAAGTTTTTTACTGTCAATATCCAATGGATGAGGGTTGGTATGTTGTTCTCCGTAATACCCCTAGAGACTTGATAGACATAGGGGATGGAAGTAGAGATGACATCGAAATAAGATCATAATCTTTACCTTTTATAACACAAAACTTAGATAATACTACATAATTTCAATGGGTTAGAGAGGACGTGGAAGAAGATATTAATGAGAATTGATATGACATTAGAATGTAGTATGATTTTATATCTTAATTTATTAATTTATAATATTATAACTTATAACATATTGTTCTTCAATATATTCATTAATTGAACCATTTTCTTACTAAAATTGTTGTTTTTTTATTACAGATATCATGTCCAGGAGAAAATTAAGTGATTTGTGGATTGTTCGAGCTTCTCAAGAGGAGGAATAAACAAATAATGAGGAATCGACTGTTGTTGACTCTTCGGAAGTTCCTATTACTATTGAAGAATCAGAAGAAATTGAAGGTAATGTTCGACACTGTCTTTAATTGTTGGTTCATTTTGAAAACTTACATTTAATTATTTCTTATATAGTTGAAAATGGTTGAACACGCAAGACTAGAGGACGTACAACGTTGAAGGAATTATACCAACTTCCTCCTGGGCACCGTGTGAAATTTTCAAGAAATGATGTCGGCCAACCTATTGGCCCAGAATCACATCTTCTATCCGGTTACTTAGGCATGGTTACACATAATGCTAATATTTTACCGATCAATTATGAGTTATGGCGTGAAATGCCAAATAGTAACAAAAATCAGGTTTTGAATTTTGTTAAGGTAATAATGTCATTATAATAGACAATCCATAATAGTTCAATAGTAATTTATACTTACTTTGAACACCTATGTTATTTGTAGGAGAAATTTTCTTTAGAGGTCTCAGATGATTATTTGAAGTAAGCATTAGGGAAGAGATGGAGAGACCCCAAGAGTTCATTAAAAAAAGAAATACTTCAAGAATGATCTCAACCTTGAAGAGAAGTTACAAAATGTCCCACCTGGAATGCTCAAGTATCAATGGGAAGATGCAGTCAGGTTTTGGAGTTCAAAGAAAGGACATATATGATGTATTTTTTCAAAAATAATCTAATGTCATTATAATATTGACTTTATAAGTAAATAATTCAAATTGCAGGGCCGAGATCATGTTGGTTTTGCTATGCCTTGGTTTGTCGGTTTTTTCTTTAGTTCTTTTTTATGAGTGTGGGTACTCTTTTCCTCCATCTAGGTTTAGGAGGTTTTTAACGAGGCTCACATTCGGAGTTTTAATTCATCTTTAATGAATATTTCTTCTTGTTGAGCAAAAAACAAATTCTTTTTTTAGTGAATATTTTCTCATTTCCTATTGTTAATCTCAATATTTGATTTTCCCTCATCCAACGGTCCTAAAAAGATCTAAAATATTTAATTGTACATTATGTAATTAGATCCTAACCCTATATATATAATAAAATGTACATATTTAATTATTAAACTTGTGGTTCTTTTCTGATAAAGTTTTTAACTTAAATTTTCTATTAGAAAATACAATTTATCCTATCAGAACACCCTACACATATTAGTATATATTTAATTTTTATGCTTGTAATTAGTTTAGACAAATAATTTTATTAAACTTGCATGATAAATAATATATAAAACTATAATATATATACATATATATATATATATATATATATATATATATATATATATTTAATGTTTTCACCGTAAATTTCTAAATTTGTGAATGATTTTAGATAATAGGATAAACTATGCATTTAATCAGCTAACTATTTTCGCGATTCCGTTTTGGTCACCCAACTATTTTTTTTAAAAAAATCATACTAAAAGTTCAAAAATAACATAGATTTTAATGTGTCACCATAAGGTAAATCTCACACTATCATTAAAAAAATAAAATAATTACCACGTCAGTAACTTTTTAAGGGTGGGTCTTCAAAGTAAATTTTTAAGATTTTTGGTATGCCTCATTCTATGATCCGCCATTGCATGCTGTTAATTCTCATGGTTTCCCATATGTCAAAACATAGATCATAAACTACTCTTCCATGGTTGATTCATCTTCCCTATATATACATACACCAATTACAACCCCATAACAATATCAGGGATCAAAACGAAATATCAATAATTATAAGAAGAATCTTATTATCATCATGAAGTCATTGAGCAGAGTTTCTTTCCTTATCCTTGCCACCGTCGTCTTCCATCTCTTCTCCTCCGCTTCCGTCGTCGAAACGCATGGAGTTGTACTTGATAATGGAACTGCGGTGGTCACACCCCCGACCGCGTTTTGTGTGCCAACGGAGCAAGCTTCCAATGCTGAATTGCAGAAAGCCTTGGATTTCGCGTGCGGCCAAGGCATTGATTGTGGTCCGATTCAGCCGGGTGCCGCATGCGGTGATCCACCCACCGTCAGGTCTCGTGCCGCATTCGCCATGAATTCTTACTACCGCTCTCATGAAGGCAACCCTAGTTTTTGTGATTTTAATGGCATTGGTAGAGTAATCAGCGAGAATCCAAGTAAGCGTTTAGTTCCTGTGTTGATATTTACTCTCTAAACTTTAATTTGCCATAATTTGTTCTCCAATCTTATACTGTCATTGGTTAGTCCAAAATTAAACATAGTTGAAGAATCAAAACCATCATCTGATTTAAAAAAAAAAATCTTTTTAGGGTTTAGGAATTGAATTTTAATAATCTATTTTATCAATAAATCTCCGTGCAATTATGAATATTTTAAATTTATTCATCGAACTATTAATAATTTATTATAAACTCTTTATACATCAAAATTTTAGTTTTCTAACTTTTATTTTTATAAATTTAATTCTTATTCCTTTTAAATTTTAAATCTAAAAAGTAAAATGGTAAATTTCTAGAAATAAAAGCACAAAGATTAGGTTCAAAATAAAAGCCATTTTTGTTTATTCTTTATTTAATTGCATATTTATTTTATTTATGCAGGCTATGGGAATTGCAAATATATTTGAAGAACTGAAAGAGAAAAGATCGGTTATGACAGGAGATTTTGCTTTGTTATAAATAATTCCTGAAAAGGATCAATTTAGTTCCTAAATGTTATTAGGAAAAAAATCATAAAAAATATTAATTATTATTTTTCTAAATATTAATTAATGCCAGTTTCAATATTAATGTATTGTTTCAACCGTTTTAATTATCATTTTGTCTTTATTAATATCGGAACCGATTGGTTATAAAGATGGCAATTTAACTCGAATCCGACGAGTTTTAACCCGACCAAACCCAATAGGGTCGAATTTTTTTTAAAAAAACTCGGGTTCGGGTCGTGTTAGATTTTTTAAGGGGTGAGGTCAGGTCGGGTGGAGGTACAAAAATTTCGACCCGATGATAATAATGTAATTTTCTTAATTTTTTTTATTTCTAATTAAATCTTTATTTTATATCGGATCGCGTCGGAGTCGGATAGAAGGTATAAAATTTTTGGGTCGGGTCAGACTCGAGTGGAAGGTGCATATTTTCGGGTCGGATTGACCAAAAACCTGACCCGTTGCCATCTTTAGTTGGTTATGTCCCTGATCACGTATTGTCTCTCTATATTATTACTCAATTAATGTCTTTTAAACGTCACACAATATTCAACAAAGAAAACATGGACACACACACATATATATATAACGTCATATATGATATGGATGTAATGGCACACAACTTAGTTTGCTCTACTATATGCAATTATTATATTTACCGTTCTGATGGGATGCATTAGTCGGTAGTTAGATTTATCATCCTAATGAATGAATTAGTCGATAATTGAATTTATCATCCTAATGATTAAACTAGTCATTATTCGGTCACTTCTGTAACACAATGTCTCATTTCGATGTAACATACAAAATGGCATGACATATGTTCATATTAAAGAAGACCAAAGAGCATAACATTATTGGTTTATCATATTTTATTCATTAACATAAACATACATTTAATATTAACATGCATGATGAGTGTTTTAGATTGACATTATTTACTTGATAATTTTTCCGTATTATGAATTTATCATTGTTGATTTAGTTCTGTTTTGCTTATTTTCATGCAGAGGTTTACTTTTCAGAACTAGCAGTAAAAAGGCGTTATTCGCATTTTTTTTAGAAGGTCCAGTCAACATTGGGAAGATTTTGGAAGCAGCCTACTCAGCACAATCCGAGGAGATTTTTCAGAAAATCTTCCTTTTACATGTACCAAAGATAAGGACAAAACCATTATGGAATCGTTTGAAGAAACCAATTTTTGGTAAAGGAGATGCATTGGCGACCATTATTCCAGAAAAGATTCGAAGAAATATTTATGAGAATATTCAAATTTCTCATAAGGAATTTCTTAGTTGGAGGAAACGAACGAAGTGGAAATGTTTGTCACAGAACTTGTAGTCTGAAACAGGTCATCGAGCTAACGGCATTAAAAATAGCGTTTTATGGGAGGCAACCCATATTTGTTTTTATTTATTTCAATTTTTTGTTTTTGTTTTCGACTTTAGTTTTTTTTTCTTTTAATTTTTTTTTGTAGGTACCCATTGTTTAACCTTGAATTTTAAATGAGAGGAAATCGAGAGTCATCTGAACCGATAGCGAAGAATCAGCGAAAAATTGAACCCGAGGTGTGAAGAATGTGTGCTACAGAGACTAAATTTTCTGATTTGGAGCAGCCAATTGAGCACAAAGGAAGCAATGAATTATCGGGCAAGGCTTGGAGCTTTCACCGAATTTTATGAAACTCATCGTTTCATTAAAATTGGGTGCGCATTAGAATGGAATTGTGAGGCCGACCACCCTAGCTAAACCCAATTCCCAATTTCACTTTACTTTGCCGCCTACCCCACGTAATTCCGCTGCATTACGTCGATCAGTTTTCCCTTGCCGAGCACCCACGCCACCGATGCTCCGTTATTCCCCGTCTCTCTCTCAGTTTTCAACAATGCCGCGACCGTCATTAAACTGGAGACTATCCCTTTTCCCTCTCCTTTGCATCTTTATTTTGAATTACGTTTTGGGACAAAACGAACTAAGTGAGGGGAGGATAGTTAGATTTTTCCTCTTTTGCTATGCTTGAAATTGAGTTTTTGTTATAGATATGCTTGGATAATTGGTTGTCGGTTCCTTTGACTTGTTGAGTAATTTGGTTGCTTTCTAATGAATTGTCTAATTTTGCTTTGAATTGAAGTTGAATGCATTATGGTTTGTTGGTTTAGCTAGTTAATTTTTTGAAATTTTTGACATTTAATGGTATATTGGTTGAATTGATACATTCACTTGATTCATTGAACCTATTTTGGTGAGACTTGAGCCTAATGAGCATTCATTTTTCATTCTTACTCTCAGGTGACCATGTTTTAGTTTCTAATAGTCGAGAGACTCAACAAAGCAACACTCTAAAGTCTGAGAACCATTTTATAACTTTTAATAGCCGAAGGACTTAATAAACAATTTCCTATAGTTGGAGGAACAATTTGTGCACTTCATCCAAAATTTATATCTAATGGATTCCATCTTATAGGGTGTTAAAAACAAGATCAATTTCTATGTTTTTATAATTTTATTTATATGTGATTTGTTTTTATCTTGATCATGAATTATTTATTTTCGCTTATAAAATTTTGACATCATTGTAACGCTATTGTCGGGACCATCATTCTTTAATATTTTTTATCATTCCATACATTGACGAGTTTATTTTATTGTCGATTATTATTCTATCGATTTAAATTTTCTCAAAATCTCTTTTAAATTCACGAAATTTTAACACAAAATTAGAGAAAGCAACTATGATCTGCAACCTCCGTTGCTCGGTTAGCCTGAAATCAAAATATATTTTTTGTATTCTTCTTTTTCACCTCCTCACTATCGGAACTTGGAGAAAAATGCTTTGATTTCAGAAAACTATAGTGATTTAGGAAGGTAAATTATATGGGTTTTTTATAAAAAATAGAAGAAATTTCTTTTTTTTCTTTTCATAAGTTTTGTTAAAAGGATGTTATATGATAACATCATTAAATAATTAACGATCATTAAATAATTAACAACGATGTGATTTAAAGCCAATTTTATATTATTAATATATATATATATACTCACTTCAAAAAATATTTCTGAATCTGTTACTGTTATAAGTATTATTTAAAGTGACAACGTTGAATTAATCATTTTTGTTCATCTGAAGGGACCCTGTTCTTAAGCTTGATTCTGTTAACGATACAGTTTACAATTAATCACTGTTAACGATACAATTTACAATTATTCTTCCATGTTAACAATATTTTCCTGATTTTGTGTAACCAAAAATAAGAAAATGGAACTCGTTTGGTTGCTCTTTTCGAAGATAAATTAGAAGAGAGATGTAACACTCGATGCTCTAGCTCTGGTCCCATGACTATTTCTAAGGCCTTCGCCTAACGAACCAACTCAGTGAAAATCCTCGATGGATCGACGGCCAAGTGGTTGAGAATGTGTATGTAGGGGCCCTCCCTAAACCTCCTGCAACGATGGTACTCAGATGCTACCAGCTCCGAAACATAATGGCTCAACCGGAGAACTCCCTCTCGTACTCGAACACAGACCGGTCTCCTTGAATCATGTGTAAAAATTGATAACTCAAGTCGGCAGCATAAGCCTTTCCTATATACTTTTGGTGGAACTCCACCAAAAAATGCTCGTAGGTGGGTCACTCGGGCTCCATCACCAACTCGACTGTCTCCCATCAGTCTATGGCATCACCCTTCAGCAAGGAGGTGACACACTCCAACATACCCTCAGGGGTGAGGTGTAGCTAGCAGAGTGTCCTCTGGGTCTCTCTCAACCACTGGTCGGTAGTTATCGAGTCATCATCTCCAGAGCCGAAGAAGTCTATAGTTCGGTACCTCCGCCTCTCGACTGGGGATACTACGGTTCTACAACGGAAGGGACTGACAAAGCTAGCTGGGTAGGTGGGGTAGTAAGTGTCCTTGGAATCGCTCTAACTATACATCTCAGGGTCGCAATCAGATCTTGGAAGAAGGTCGCCTCCTCGACCCCCGTACCCCCAGGTTCCTCAAACTTAGAATCTAGGACGAACTCGTCACTGGTATCGCTTGTTAAGGAATCTATACTCTCATTCCTTCCCTCCTGACTATTATATGGGATCTCATCCATAGTTTAACTCTGAAATTAAGACAAGAACAATGAGTTATTATCGTTATTCCAAACGCAGGAGCACTCTGAAGTCCCTAGAGGCATGTATACTTATAGACTCTTATTGATTCTGACCCACGGGTCCTAGGAATGTCTAAACCTGTCGCTCTGATATCACTAAATGTAACATCCTAATCTGATACGATACAAAGTCGGTCGATTATAATGCCACACTGGACCACCAAAGTGGCTAACCCAAAAAATTTCTTTAATTATTAGTAAATCATACATTTTAAAATCATTCAAAGTAATGTAAAACATCCATAATATATATATATATATATATATATATATAACTAGCCCAATTTCACACTAACAATTAAACCAAACTAAAAATGTCCATCCAATGCTCAAGCTATCAAAATCAATAAAAACAGTGAGTGTACTCGTATACTTCACTCTGCTCTCGGGTAGACATCATGGTATGGCTTAGGGTTATATATCTCGGAGCTCACAAACCCCTTTAGTCTACCTAGGGTGAGGTCCGAGAATCTGTACGTCGTACACAACACCCGACTAACCCACCTCTCGCGAATGTTAGGGCCTCGTGCCCTAGTTAGTCCTTTTTAAAGTGCTTCATACACTACCTAAATATATCCGAAAAAATTCTATTTCTCAAAACCATAGCATTTGCTAAAGTAACTTGGGTTTCCTAATTGTTTTCCCGAGCATCAACCAAGGCTAGTTTTATGTCATCCTAGAAGATTCTTGTTTATAGCTTTCATTGATTATTATGGTTCTCACTTGTAGTTTTATTTTAGAGTAATTATGGAGTTCTTAGGTACCTCAAAACCTCTTCTAAATCCCTTGAAATTATTTCCGTATAATGTATGATGGTACCGATACTAGGTCTCTCGGTATCGGTACTAACCCTTGAGTATCAATACTCCACCTTGGGTATTGATACTCTACAACTAATTTCAACTGGGGAAAATGGATAGTATCGATACTCTCAAAAAGAGTATCAATACTCCTAAGCTAGGGTATCGATACTATCCAGGGTAACGATACTAAATTTGGATACTCTCAGACCGAGTATTGATACTCCCGAGCTAGGGTATCGATACTATACAGGGCATAGAGTATCGATACTCCATGAGTACCTGTACCAAAAATGCACACTGGAATAACGGTCTCGATACCCACCTTGAGAGTCTCAAAACCAAATCCTCAGTATCAATACTCCATGAATGAGTATCGATACTACTCATACAAAACTCTCTTATTTTTGTCCCTTGTAAGAACAATATCGGTATTATTCTTCCAGTACAGATACTCATGCCCAGAAATGCCCTGTTTTGGCATGAATTTGGCTCTCAATGTTACCCAAGATGCCCTACTGAGGTCCCCAAACACCATTAAAGTCTTATTTGATATACAAAGGTCATAAAAAAAGTTTAGAACATACTAAAAACACTATAACATAGAATCTACCATGAATGCTCCATCATGCTTCATAACTCAACTCTCTAGCTAGAATGCATTCTAATGACTCACAAATGGTATAAAGAAGTTGTGAATGTGTTACCTTAATCTCTTAGCTGTTGAGAATGCCCTAAAATCAACCAAGGGTCAAATTCTCCTTTCATCTAGCCTTGGAGCTCTCTCACACTTCTTTCACTAATCAAAGTCAAGGAAATAGGTTACTAACTCATCTAAGAGCTTGGATTGAAGTTAATAACACTCCCTAGAACTTAAATACACTAAAAACGGGTTGGAAAGCACTTGCTTTCTTAAACCTCTATAAAACCCAATTTTTGTTTCTATGACCAAAACTTGAGGTTGGGGGATTAAATTAAAGCTTGAGAGGTGAGGATGAATATCCTTACCTTTGTAAAACCAAACTAAGCTTACAAATCCAAAAATTTTCACATTTACCAAATCCTTGGAAATGGAGAAGAATAAGAAAGAGATGAGATGAGGAAGAGTGTTTGGTGAGAAAAGGGGGTGAGGAGGATACATGTGGGGTCATCCCAAAATTAAGGATTTCAGTTTTTTAAATAGATTAATTACACTTTTAGTCCTCCCTCTTTCATCCCTATATTAAAAATACCACTTTTCACCTCCAATTGGACTCAAACCAAAACCAAGCCCAAATTGGAGCAAGTCTTCTAATATGATAATGTAAATTAATTTACGACCCTCTCGAGTTAGCTCAAACCCCTAACCCAAGATTTAGGGCGTTACAAGAGAATTGTAGAGAAATTATAATTTTTTTTATTAAAACGATGAAGTATAGTTAGATAGTTAGATAAATTAGGAGTAAATCAATAATAAAATGAAGGTGGTTATCATAAGATCCCAATTGCTCTTCAATATATTTTTAATCTAAAAAAATATTAGGGTAAACTACATTAGATACAACCGAACTTTGAGCGTTGTATCGTTTATACCACTGAACTTTTAATTTGTCAATTATAGCACTGAACTTTGGTTTTCATTTCAATTATACCACTAGGCCGTTAAATTGTTAACAGTCGGATTAAAATGACGTCGTTTTGGTGAGGTGTCTACGTCGGAAGCCATCAGTCATGTCAGCAACCATCAACCACATCATTATGCCATTAAAGATTCAACGATTCAACGGTATAATTAAAACAAAAATCAAAGTTCAGTACTATAATTCATAAAATTGAAAATTTAATAGTATAAACAATACAAAACCTAAAGTTAAGTGGTATGTGATGTAGTTCGCCCAGAATCTTATTTATAATATTTCTTTATTTATTTACATTTCCCAACACCTTCTACTAACTCATATTTTTACAAATCTTTTATTATTGTTACCCATTTTAAGCATTTGTAAGTTCAAGAATAACGAAGAAGATTATTAGGTTAAAAACGAAATTCAATTCATTTTGATGGAAAGAACCATTGATACCTAAGAGGTTTTGCATCAACTTCACTTATTATTATGACACCAAATATTATTAAATAGATGTATTTAGATTTATTTTATTTCAATCGACGTTATAACGAGATTATCTCTTGCTATAATTTTTTTTAAAAGAACCCTACAACAAATTTATCATCATTTTTGACAAAATCGATATCAATACTGATACCCTCGTCTCCAACAATGACAAGTTAAAAAAATATTATAATACAAGATTAATGCTAGAATTTAATTTAAATAAATTTAATAGCATTCTTTTAAGGATTTTTTCTCTAATAATTTTAGACAAAATTGATATTCTTTAGCATTCTTTTTCGAGCGAAGTAAAACCTTCACTCATAGCTAATCTTTCCTCATCCAATTCTTCAAACATATTTGCATTTTCCATAACCTGCATAGAAAATAAATGCGCAATTAAATAAAGGAAAAAATTACCAAAAATGGTGAGCTATATTAATTTAAATAGATTGTTAAAATTATGGTTTTGTTCCCTATACTATATTTACATCTAAGATTTAATCATTATATTTGAATTAACTAATGATATTATAAAGTTAGAAATTAAATTATTTTAAATTAAAAGCATAAGGACTAAATTTATAAAATAAAATAAAATTTATTTTTAGCTTACTTGGATCCTTGGTGGTGGTCTGAGCAGTGCTTCTAAAATCGCAGGCGTTCTCAATGCCTCCTTTCCTCCTATGGTAATGACTCACGGCGATCGTCGTGGGAGACCTAACGGTGGCCGGTTCGGCGCAAACGACATCGGATTGAATCCGACCGCAACTGATACCTTGATCGCATGCCCAATCGAGGTTTTTCTGCAATGTAGCTTCGCCGACTCCGTCCTCCGGCACACATAACTTGGTTTTTCCCATATTATTTACACCTTGGAATGAATCGCCTTTTGCCTTATGAACTACAAGACGCTGCTCTATGACTTCATGAATCCAAATTTATTGTTTTATTTTATTATTTTATTGCAATTTTATGTCGACCCCTGATATTGTTTTGGGGTTGTAATTCGTGTGTGTGTATATATAGAGAAGTTGGATCAACAAAAACGAGGAATGTTTCAACGCCATGTGCGGATTGATTTTAGGGTAAGTGTAACTATATTTTAGTTCTAATTTAGCTTAAATATAATTTATTTAAAAGATCTACATTTTTACTATATTAGAGTTAATGATATATGCATGAACCAAACGACCTCAGTAGTAAAGGAATTATTGTTATTCCTTCAGGTCTCGGGTTCGACCACCAGGAATGCAGGGGTATGAGCGTTCAATGTCAAATGGTTGGGAGTTATTTTTGAACATATATTGTCTTATACTTACCTCAGATTAATAGAAAAATGATATATTTACAATCTACTTAGCATAAATTTTGACACCACTATGACCTTCATTTAAAATTAGTCCTTAAACTTTTAAATATTCCAATTTCATCTACAAACTATGAATATCATTCTAAATTGGTCCTAAACTTTTACATCTCCAATTTTATCCCCAAATTCATCCAAATATGTAATCCATTTCAAACCATAGTTCAACTTAAATTTCACTTTTTTCAAACATATAATAATATAACTTGGTCTAATGATTTTATTAACAAGGGATGTGATTAGTATATACGTATAATTTAGGATTAAATTGAAATGTTCAAAAAGTTTAGAACCAATTTATAATGTAGATCATAGTTTGGGGATGAAAATGAAATGTTAGAAGTTTGTGGACTAATTTAGAACATATTCATAGTTTAGGGATAAAATTAAAATATTTAAAGTTTAGGGACCAATTTAAAATGAGGGTCATAGATTGGGGACGTATGATGCAATAAATCCTATACATATATTGTATTTATATTACTAGATATGAGCCCAAGGGAGATAAAATGAGGGTCATAGATTGGGGACGTATGAGGGTCATAGATATGTAGCATTATCTAATGATAACACGTCAAACATTACCGTTAATTGTTTTAAAGATGAGTGACCAAGACATCACCAAAATGTAATGTTGGGAATAGTTTAAAATAAATAATAGTTGAATGACCAAAACATAAACTAAATAATAAATGGGTGACTAAATATATAATCCCAATAGCCTAAGTAGGCTTAGGCCTAGATACGCCTCTGGTCACTCCCGATAACCACTTAGGCACGTAATTTACCTTATTTAGTTTGGGTTGAGGAGTGGAGTGGAGGACGAGGAGGAGACGACGACGGAAGAGAGATAGAGGCTTATTTGGATGCTACCGATGAGGATATGTAAGAACAGAGTTGAAATATATAAATATAATTTAGGGGTGTGCAAAAATATCCGATCGAATGATCCGATCCGTTTTTCCTATGATCTAATCTGAATATCCAATCCGATTTTTCTTTTCGGGTAATTCAAATCGGATATCCTTAAAAAATTTGAATAATCGAATCGGATACGGATTAAAAAAATCTTGATTTCGAATTATCCGAATATCCCAATTAAAAAATTACTGTTAGTGATATAAGTTTTATCGTTACTAAAACTTTGACATAATTAGAATACACAAATTGACGTGAATTATTTTCTTGATGAAAATAATATGATAGTGAGGACATATAAAGCAAGGATGGAGCTCCCTTAGGGCACAAAGGGGCCCCGACCCTGTAAAATTATTTTATGTGTAATAGATTTCGATCTAATTGTATTTTAGTTAATTTAAAAATAAGTATTTAAATTGATAAATATAAGAATTTATTAGATATTTAATCAAGTAGGGGTGAATTAAAGAATTATAATCCAATACCAACAAATGGTTGGTCTAGCGGGATGAGGCACTAGATCCCTTAAGCAATGTCAAGGATTCGAATCTTGGCAATTCTGAATGGAGCAAATTGGGTTGGGAGGGTCGTCCTTACCTTTGCAGTACCCAATCTAAATTAGTCAACCAATAGATTGGAAACTTGTGGTTATACAAAAAAAAAGGAATGATAATTCAATGCTCTCAATTTTTTGCTCTAATAACAATTTAGGTCATTATAAATTTAATTATTAGACAAATTAGACATTGTTTTCTGAATTGTATGTTTATATACCTAATAAGTCATTATATTTTTTTAAAAAAGTTTAATATTTCGGCCCCTGTCTATATCTAATCCTGACTCCGCCCATAATATAAAGTGATCATTGTTATTTGATATTTGTCGTGAAAATAAAGTTTTGTATCACTTAAAACTTTGCTTTTTGCCGTATAAATTTTGACACAAATAATCTCTATTTATTTTTATAACCATTGTACTAATAACAACTAAAAAAAATTTAGTTACCATAAACTAGTTTATCGAAATAAAAATATTTTTCATTAATCTCTTTACTATGTGTAAAGTGTAATTTTAGTCCTATACTTTTTAGATTTTTAAATTTCAATTACAATTCAAAAATTGCAATGACAATATGAGATATTCACAATGTTAGTATGACAAATGATTATCGCATAAAGGACCATTCTTTTGTTGATCTTCTGTTTAGCTTCCTCTCCAATCTGTATTGGATCTCGTCTTAAGAGGCAAAGGTAATCTCACATTGGGATCCATCTCCAACTTGTTCAGAGATTTAAACACACCATTCTCAGTATCCAATCAAAAGAATTCCCAGGAATGTTTTCTTCCCCCTTTTATAGGTGTCCAAATGAGTTCCCAAGTATCCGTTCTCCGGCATGCATACATTATCGTTACACCTTCTACGAGTCCTTGTCAAGAAGTAGACTAGAATCAAGCGTTCTCAATAAACCATTGGACCCGAAATCTCTGAAGCCGAGCAAGTTCGGGCTATGTTGAGAAAAACTCGTGGTCACAGATGATCTGTTTTTTAAACAACTGTCCTCCATTTCCAGCATATATTTACTGAAGGAAATAGGGATGCCGCTCGCTGAAGTTGAACAGAAATTTACTAGCATCGGAGAGGGTGAAGCCATTGCTTTGTTGTGGGCTTGTTTGTGGTCATCCTCACCCTTGGCTGCTTTACTTAACCCTTTTGCCAAGAAACAAAAGCAAGAGCCATTATATCTGCACCATTGTTGTGAAACGTGGATAATTCATTGTGACCTTAAAAGTTTGAGAACTAAGGCACTATTTGATTCGAATCACAATACGATACAGACTCCAAATCCAACATTGTTATTTAAACTCTAATTTGATGACAATCCAGTAGCTTATGATGCAAATACAAGACCAAAATATAAACCCAAATTACACTGGAAAAGCTCATAATTGTTATATTTTCTCAAAGCAGAATGTGAACAGAAGAGAAGAGCAACCATTACTGCTGAGGCTGAGTAAGCCTCCCAAGATCAATCATACCACACCTTAGATACCTGCAACTTGAGAAACAAAGATTTATCTTAACACATCATATCATAATTGAAATGTGCCTCAGCTGGTGATATAATTTTGTTAAGATAAGAAGACATTATTACCTTCTGATTGAGCAGGATATGGAGTTCGAATCCCATGGCGTAATCGAGTTGGACGAAGAAGTTTATCTCGAATAGAACAAAGCTTGGCAACAACATCACTCATGTCCATCCGCTCGACCGGTGATTCAACAGAGCATGCAAGTCCTATTTCGAATATTGAATTCAAGCAATGAAGGCGGCTGTCATTTCCCATACGGTTTGCATTGCGAGTGATGTTTGTGACTGTTCCTTCTCTGACACCCTCTAGAAGTAGAATCGGATCTATAATCTCAACCATTAGATCAGGCAAAGCTTCCTTAACAAAGATGTGAAGACTTAAACCTTCTTTGAACCTTTCATCAGTTGGCCTTTTCCCTGTAAACATCTCCAGCAAAAGGATGCCATAACTATACACATCTCCTTTTGTTGACAACTCGCTTCCCATGCCATATTCTACAATTAGTTCATCACAAATTACATAGACAAATAATTGTAGCGGAAAACCCTGTAAATAATGATTATAAAAATTGAAGGAAAAAAATACAATGTAATTACCAGGTGAAGCGTAACCAATTGTTCCTCTTAATCCAAGGGAACTTGACTGAGAAGCATGATGGTTTAGGCTGTCTGCAAAAAGGATTTTTGCTAAGCCGAAATCACTTATATGGCCAACCATTTCATCATCAAGTAAAACATTGCTTGGCTTAAGGTCACAATGAATTATTGACATTTCACAACGATGATGCAAGTATTCGAGTGCATGAGCAACATCAATGGCCACATCAACTCTTTCGAAGAAGTTCAAGTTTCTCATTGTCTCCGGTTCATTCAAGCTGCTAGATGGATGCAACCAGTCCTCCAAGTTTCCATTTTCCATGAACTCATAAACCAAGGCTTTAAAATCATTGCCTTTATAATCGACACTAGAAATGGCTGTTAATACCCGCACAAGATTTCGATGTCGAATGTTCTTCAAGATCTCGCATTCAGCCATGAAACTCCTGGAAGCTCTACGATTAAGAAGATTAAGCACCTTTACCGCAATAGTTGCTCCACCCTCTTCAAGAATTGCTTTGTATACAGAGCCGAAACTTCCCGAACCAACTAAATTTTGCATGGAAAAACCGTCAGTAGCCAATAGGATGCTTTGGTATGACAACCTTAAAAGCGAATTCTCTGCACAAGTTGCAGTTGGCTTTCGCTCTTTCTTCTTTCTAAACCACAAGATGAAGAGACAAGTTAAAACCAAAGCCACTCCTAAAATCACAATGACAATTGAAATCTTCAATTTAAGGGAAGTGTTTGGTGATATTTTTGTGTTACATCTTGACAAGTGTAACTCAGGGATACCTCCACATAACTTATTGTTCCCCTCAACAAATATAGCACTTGCATTCTTAAAAACTCCTTCACTTGGCAACACTCCCTCGAAATCATTGGAAGAGAGATTTAAATACTTTAATGCCCTCAAACTGACAAGAAATTTCGGAATCTCACCCGAAAGATTATTATCAGATACATCCAATGCCTCAAGACCTTTCAATGAACTCAAAGATGAAGGAAGCGGACCTTCAAACAAATTCCCATCCAAGAACAACATCTCTAGACTTACACAGCTACCAAGGTTATTTGGAATCAAGCCAGATAACATGTTTTTATAAAGATAGAATTCAGCTAGATTTTTCATACAACCTACTGCAACAGGAAGTTCGCCTGTCAAATCATTTGATGATAAATCTAAAGTAATTGACAAGGATGGGATTCCAAGTACTTGAGGGGGTATAGGTCCACTAAGATTGTTATGAGAAAGACTCATTGCAAGCAAATTTTGGCAGTTACCTAAACTTGAAGGAATGTTGCCTCGAAGATTGTTAAATTCTAAACTAAGTTGGATTAACTCTGTTAAATTTCCAATAGAATGAGGAATAATCCCAGAGAGAAAATTACCAAAAGCGAAAAACACCTTTAGCTTCTGAAGCCTACCAATTTCAAAGGGAATGGAGCCTGATAGTTGATTTGTATCTGCCACTAGTACCTCCAAATTGTTGAGATTTCCAATCCCATCCGGAATTCTTCCCCATATTTTGTTCTTCTCCATTCCTAAACCCACAAGGGTGTTGGAAAAATTGCTAATGCATTCCGGAAGTTCCCCTCCAAAATTATTCATGCCAAAAGACAGATAACATAAGGAATTATTGAGTAAAGTGCAGAGAAAGTTCAAGTCACCTTGTCTCCCGTATCCCAAGTGGTTTCCCTCTAGTTGAAGGTTAGACAGTTTATCCAACTTTTCTAACGAAGGCACGTCTCCACTGAAATTGTTAACAGCAAATTCAAGTACATTTAGATTTGAGGCATTGCATATTGAAATAGGGATTTGTCCGAAGAATTGGTTGTCCCCTATGGCAAAGAATTCAACATATGGCATAGTGATTGCCAAGCTAGAATGAAGAATACCTTGAATCTTGTTTTCACCAATATCAAAAGTTCTCATATTGGAGAGGTTGAACATTGTGACAGGAACAACACCAGAAATTGTATTTGCTGCTATAGAGAGAAATGAAAGTTTTGTCAGCTGTCCAAGAGCTTCAGGTATAATCCCACTTAATGCATTAAACGCCAAACCAAACTTCTCCAGAGATGATAGGTTCCCCAAGGAATGTGGGATACTCCCTCTCAAACTGTTGCGGTAAAACCCCAAGACTCTCAGGTTTGACAAGAGACCCAACCAAGTAGGTATTTCTCCGGTTAGCTGGTTGCCTCCCATATCAAAAACTGTAAGCTTAGAACAAGAAGATAAATTGGAAGGAATTTTACCACTGATGGAGTTATTGGTGAGGTCTAATACTTCTAATCTTCTTAAACGACCAATTTCCTGAGGAATCTGGTTGTAGAAGTTGGTGCCCACAAGTCTCAATTCCCTGAGAAAGCTCAAGTTTCCAATGTATGGTGATAAAGATCCCGAGATTTTAAAGAATTGGAGTTCCAACTTGGTGACTCTCTGATGCTTGCGACCACATGTAACACCAGGCCACTGACAAAAGTGAATGGAACTATTCCAGGACTCCATAATCTTGAACTGATCACCAGTTATCTTGGCTTTGAATTGGACTAAAGCTTGTAAGTCTGTGGCATTTCCTCTGGCTTCAGGGCTTGCTGTTGCTAAATCAAGCAGATTAAGACCCTGCAAGCTGAAACATGAGAGAAGAATTATAGCTTCAATGTAAGCAAGGAAAAAAGTGGTGGACACTTGAAAATGCTTTTTTGATAGCTCCATCAACCTGAAACAATTTCTTAATTGACAAGAATAATGTGTATTTGAGAGTGCTTGTTGGTTCATCCACAAGAACTAGAGATGGCATTATATATGAATAATTTTTGAACTGAGATGTTATCCTATTCCATATGAAGTCAATTGGTTCAAGTCTTCCAACTTTAAAAGTCAAGTGGCTACGATTTCCACCACTTCCGACTTGGGGTTGGCAAGTTTCCACCACTTCCTACATTTAACATTTATGAACCATATATTCAGAAAACATTAATTTTTTCTTGTATAAGAAAATGATGAGAGGGAGACTTGAAAGTAAACTCTAGATTGTATGGAGGATACTCTCAGCAGGGTCACTGTACCACCACTTTCTGTATTTCACAAGTCAAAGAAGATGATAGTGGGAGACTTCAAATAAAAGTGCTTTTGCCACTAGTTCCTACATTTCACATTATTTTCAAGTAAACGCAGATACTTTCAGCAGGGTCCCAATTGGTGAGTCACCATTCACTGTTGTAGTTTATTTCTGGTTCTTGGGGTATTTCTCTGAAGTTTCATAAATGAAGGACTGTCAAGCTATAAACACAGGGGATATCACTACCACCAAATGCCAATACTCACTAACTTACAAATTAATAAACAATTCCACTCTGACACACCCTATCCATCAAAAACAAGGGAGAAACAAACTTAGTGTCCAACACCTAAAGTTTCAAGAAACACATGTTACTAAGCTAAAAGAAATAACAAGCAAAGCACACATTATGAACAGAGTAATACATACGAAACCCCAAGACTCTCAGGTTTGACAAGAGGCCTAGCCAAGCAGATATTTCTCCTATTAGTTGGTTACCTCTCATATCATTCAATGTAAGCTTAGAACAAGCAGATAATTTGGGAGGGATTTCACCACTGATGGTGTTATCGGTGAGCTGTAACCTTTCCAATCTTATTAAACCACTGATTTCTTGTGGAGTCTGGTTGTAGAAGTTGGTGCCAACAAGTCTCAATTCTCTTAGAAAGCTAAAGTTTCCAATGTATGGCGATAAAGATCCCGAGATTCTGAGGTGTTTTAGCTCCAACTTGGTGACTCTCCGATGCTTGCGACCACATGTAACACCACGCCACTGACAGAAGTGAATGGAACTATTCCAGGACTCCATAATCATGAGCTCATCACCGGTTATCTTGGCTTTGAAGTGGAGTAAAGCTTGTAGGTCTGTGCCATGTCCTCTAGCTTGCTGTGGCTAAATCAAGCAGATCAAGACCCTGCAACTGCAAGTTTAAGCTTGAGAGAAGAATTATAACTTCAACATAAGCAAGGAAAAGAGAGGTGGACGCCTCAAATTGCTTTTTTGATAGCTCCGTCAACCTGAAACAATTTCTGAAATAACGAGAATAATGTCCATGTCCACATCAATTTTCCTGTGTCTATTGTTATTACATTTTCATGTCAGGCAACCACATATTTATAAATTACAATTTACAAACCTAATTGACAGCAAAGATCAGGTAGAAAATTGTTTTATCCCTTCATGCTAATAATTTCAGTGGTGGAATTCCTTAAAAAAATAGGAAATTTGAAGAACTTATCACTAAAAGAATAAAATTTTTTAGCAACAGATTAATAGTAACTACGAGTAATTTTCTCACAAATATTAAGTTTATGTGACAAAATGTGTGTACGAAACTAATACTAAAAGTAATTGTGATGTCTTTCTATTTATTCTCTATTATAGTAATAATTGTGGTGATCAATTTTTTCCCAATTAAATTACTGCATAATTAGCACATAATTATTGAATATTTCTTGATGAAAATTAAGATATGATAGTATTTAAATTGAGAAATATAAGAATTTATTATATATTTAATCAAGTAGAGGCGAATTAAAGAATGATAATCCAAAACCAATAATCGGTTGGTCTAGCGGTATGAGGCACTAGATCCCTTAAGCAAGGTCAGAGATTCGAATCTCAGCAATTGCAAATGGAGCAAACTAGGTTGGAGGGTCTCCCTTGCCTCTGCAGTATCCGATCCGAATTAGTCGACCAATAGATTGGAAACCGGTGGTTATACAAAAAAAAAAAAGAACAACAATCCAATGTTCTCAATTTTTTAGTCTAATAACAATTTAGGTCATTATAAATTTAATTGTTGTACAAATTACACATTGTACTAATAACTTTAGTCTAATAACAATTTAGGTCATTATAAATTTAATTGTTGTACAAATTACACATTGTACTAATAACACACACAAAAAGGAACAAAAATAATATCTATTTATTTTTATAACCATTGTACTAATAACAACTAAAAAAAATTATATTTACCATAAACTAGTTTATCGAAATAAAAATATTTTTCATTAATCTCTGTACTATGTGTAAAGTGTAATTTTAGTCCCTATTCTTTTTAAATTTTTAAATTTCAATCACAATTCCAAAATTGCAATGACAATATGACATATTCACAATGTTAGTATGACAAATGATTATCACATAAAGGACCATTCTTTTGTTGATATGAATTAAATTAAATTAATTTATTTAATTATTTTAAAATATAATAGTTAATGTTTTAGGTTTAAATCATAATATTTATATGTTTATATTTTAAAATCAACACAATTATTTTTTATATTTTTTCCATAAACATATTTTGTATGCTAAATCATAAAAAAAATATTAAATGATAATATTAGTAATAGGAATAATAAGAAATGCTATAGTTAATATATTTTCATAAAATAAATTAAATTAATTACCGTCATAATAGGAATAGGAATAGGGATGCCGCTTGATGATGCTGAACTGAAAGTTATTGGCATCAGTGAGTTGGAAGCCATTGCTTTACTGGGAGCTTGTTTGTGGTCATCCTCAACCTTGTGGCCTTGTCTGCTTTACTTAACTCTTCCGCCAAGAAACCAAAGCACTTTAAAGGTATATTAGTATATTGTGTTGTATTTCTTAATGCCGCCGCTGTCTCTAGCTGACATCTCTCTTGTATAAATACGTTGGCCTCTAATGAGATATTACAGCTTTCATCAATAAAATCCTTAGAGAGTACCGCCATTAATGATGGCAGAGTGATACGTGCTGAGTTTATTCTAATTTGCTTCTGCATCTAATTTCTTTGGAATGTATAAGTTGCACTCTTATTTTTTTATTGGCTCATCATTGCCTTTGATGCTTTACCATTGTTGGTTAATTTGTTGTTCTTCATCAAATGTTTTGCCTCACGTTCGCTGAGTAGTTTATGTGTCTGATATTATCTTTTGCCTTTGATGTTTTGATCCATTCATTGATCTCTGGCTGAGAAAGTCGGATAGGAGTGTACTCTATGCTCAAGCAAGTGAAAATTTTGTTGATCTTCTGTTTAGCTTCCTCTCCAATCTGTATTGGATCTCGTCTTAAGAGGCAAAGGTAATATCACATTGGGATCCATCTCCAACTTGTTCAGAGATTTAAACACACCATTCTCAGTATCCAATCAAAAGAATTCCCAGAAATGTTTTCTTTCCCAGTATCCAATCAAAAGAATCCCAGAAATGTTTTCTTTCCCCTTTTATAGCTGTCCAATGAGTTCCAAGTATCCGTTCTCCGGCATGCATACATTATCGTTACCTTCTACGAGTCCTTGTCAAGAAGTAACTAGAATCAAGCGTTCTCAATAAACCATTGGACCCGAAATCTCTGAAGCCGAGCAAGTTCGGGCTATGATGAGAAAACTCGATGTTTGTGGTCACAGATGATCTGCTTTTTAAACAACTGTCCTCCATTTCAGCATATATTTACTGAAGGAAATAGGGATGCCGCTCGCTGAAGTTGAACAGAAATTTATAGCATCGGAGAGGGTGAAGCATTGCTTGTTGTGGGCTTGTTTGTGGTCATCCTCACCCTTGGCTGCTTTACTTAACCCTTTGCCAGAAACAAAAGCAAGAGCCATTATATTTGCACCATTGTGAAACGTGGATAATTCATTGTGACCTTAAAAGTTTGAGAACTAAGGCACTCTTTGATTCGAATCACAATACGATACAGAGTCCAAATCCAACGTTGTTATTTAAACTCTAATTTGATGACAATCCAGTAGCTTATGATGCAAATACAAGACCAAAATATAAACCCAATTACACTGGAAAGCTCATAATTGTTATATTTTCTCAAAGCAGAATGTGAACAGAAGAGAAGAGCAACCATTACTGCTGAGGCTGACTAAGCCTCCTAAGATCAATCATACCACACCTTAGATACCAGCAACTTGAGAAACAAAGATTTATCTTAACACATCATATCATAATTGAAATGTGCCTCAGCTGGTGATATAATTTTGTTAAGATAAGAAGACATTATTACCTTCTGATTGAGCAGGATATGGAGTTCGAATCCCATGGCGTAATCGAGTTGGACGAAGAAGTTTGTCTCGAATAGAACAAAGCTTGGCAACAACATCACTCATGTCCATCCGCTCGACCGGTGATTCAACAGAGCATGCAAGTCCTATTTCGAATATTGAATTCAAGCAATGAAGGCGGCTGTCATTTCCCATACGGTTTGCATTGCGAGTGATGTCTGTGACTGTTCCTTCTCTGACACCCTAGAAGTAGAATCGGATCTATAATCTCAACCATTAGATCAGGCAAAGCTTCCTTAACAAAGATGTGAAGACTTAAACCTTCTTTGAACCTTTCATCAGTTGGCCTTTTCCCTGTAAACATCTCCAGCAAAAGGATGCCATAACTATACACATCTCCTTTGTTGACAACTCGCTTCCCATGCCATATTCTACAATTAGTTCATCACAAATTATAGAAATAATTGTAGCGGAAAACCTTAAATAATGATTATAAAAATTGAAGGAAAAAAATACAATGTAAATACCAGGTGGAGCGTAACCAATTGTTCCTCTTAATCCAAGGGAACTTGACTGAGAAGCATGATGGTTTAGGCTGTCTGCAAAAAGGATTTTTGCTAAGCCGAAATCACTTGTATGGCCAACCATTTCATCATCAAGTAAAACATTGCTTGGCTTAAGGTCACAATGAATTATGGACATCTCACAACGATGATGCAAGTATTCGAGTGCATGAGCAACATCAATGGCCACATCAACTCTTTGGAAGAAGTTCAAGTTTCTCATCATCTCCTTTTCATTCAAGCTGCTAGATGGATGCAGCCAGTCCTCCAAGTTTCCATTTTCCATGAACTCATAAACCAAGGCTTTAAAATCATTGCCTTTATAATCGACACTAGAAATGGCTGTTAATACCCGCACAAGATTTCGATGTCGAATGTTCTTCAAGATCTCGCATTCAGCCATGAAACTCCTGGAAGCTCTACGATTAAGAAGATTAAGCACCTTTACCGCAATAGTTGCTCCACCCTCTTCAAGAATTGCTTTGTATACAGAGTCGAAACTTCCCGAACCAACTAATTTTGCATGGAAAAAACCGTCAGTAGCCAATAGGATGCTTGGTATGACAACCTTAAAGCGAATTCTCTGCACAAGTTGCAGTTGGCTTTCGCTCTTTCTTCTTTCTAAACCACAAGATGAAGAGACAAGTTAAAACCAAAGCCACTCCTAAAATCACAATGACAATTGAAATCTTCAATTTAAGGGAAGTGTTTGGTGATGTTTTTGTGTTACATCTTGACAAGTGTAACTCAGGGATACCTCCACATAACTTATTGTTCCCCTCAACGAATATAGCACTTGCATTCTTAAAAACTCCTTCACTTGGCATCACTCCCTCGAAATCATTGGAAGAGAGATTTAAATACTTTAAAGCCCTCAAACTGACAAGAAATTTCGGAATCTCACCCGAAAGATTATTATCAGATACATCCAATGCCTCAAGACCTTTCAATGAACTCAAAGAAGAAGGAAGAGGACCTTCAAACAAATTCCCATCCAAACAACATCTCTACTTACACAGCTACCGAGGTTGTTTGGAATCAACCCATAACATGTTTTATAAAGATAGAATTCAGCTAGATTTTTCATATAACCTACTGCACATGAAGTTCGCCGGTCAAATCATTTGATGATAAATCTAAAGTAATGGACAGGATGGGATTCCAAGTACTTGAGGGGGTATAGGTCCACTAAGATTGTTATGAGAAAGACTCATTGAAAGCAAATTTGGCAGTTACCTAAACTTGAAGGAATGTTGCCTTGAATATTGTTAAATTCTAAATTAAGCTGGATTAACTCTGTTAAATTTCCAATAGATTGAGGAATAATCCCAGAGAGAAAATTACCAAAAGCGAAAAACACCTTTAGATTCTGAAGCCTCCCAATTTCAAAGGGAATGGAGCCTGATAGTTTTCATTTGCCCCTATCACCTCCAAATTGTTGAGATTTCCAATCCCATCCGGAATTCTTCCCCATATTTTATTCTTCTCCATTGATAAACCCACAAGGGTGTTGGAAAAATTGCTAATGCATTCCGGAAGTTCCCCTCCAAAATTATTCATGCCTAAAGACAGATAACTTAAGGTTTTATTGAGTAAAGTGCAGAGAAAGTTCAAGTCACCTTGTCTTCCGTATCCCAAGTGGCCACTGAAAATGTTAAGAGCAAATTCAAGTACATTTAGATTTGAGGCATTGCATATTGAAATAGGGATTGTCCGAAGAATTGGTTGCTTACTATGGAAAAGAATTCAACATATGGCATGGTGATTGCCAAGCTAGAATGAAGAGTACTGAATCTTGTTTTCACTAATATCGAAAGCTCTCATATGGAGAGGTTGAGCATTGTGACAGGAACAACACCAGAAATTGCATTTGTTGCTATAGAGAGATATGAAAGTTTTGTCAGTTGTCCAAGAGCTTCAGGTATAATCCCACTTAATGCATTACGCGCCAAACGAAGCTTCTCCAGAGATGAAGGTTCCCCAAGGAATGTGGGATACTCCCTCTCAAACTGTTGCGGGAAAACCCCAAGACTCTCAGGTTTGACAAGAGACCCAACCAAGTAGGTATTTCTCCTGTTAGCTGGTTGCGTGCCATATCAACAACTGTAAGCTTAGAACAAGAAGATAATGGAAGGAATTTTACCACTGATGGAGTTATTGGTGAGGTCTAATACTTCTAATCTTCTTAAACGACCAATTTCTGCGGATCTGGTTGTAGAAGTTGGTGCCCACAAGTCTCAATTCCCTGAGAAAGCTCAAGTTTCCAATGTTTGGTGACAAAGATCCCGAGATTTTAAAGAATTGGAGTTCCAACTTGGTGACTCTCTGATGCTTGCGACCACATGTAACACCAGGCCACTGACAAAAGTGAATGGAACTATTCCAGGACTCCATAATCTTGAACTGATCACCAGTTATCTTGGCTTTGAATTGGACTAAAGCTTGTAAGTCTGTGGCATTTCCTCTAGCTTCAGGGCTTGCTGTTGCTAATCAAGCAGATTAGTCCCTGCAAGTTGAAACATGAGAGAAGAATTATAGCTTCAAGGTAAGCAAGGAAAAAGTGGTGGACGCTTGAAAATGCTTTTTTGATAGTTCCATAAACCTGAAACAATTTCTTAATTAACAAGAATAATGTGTATTTGAGAGTGCTTGTTGGTTCATCCACAAAACTAGAGATGGCATTATATATGAATAATTTTTGAACTGTGATGTTATCCTATTCCATATGAAGTCAATTGGTTCAAGTCTTCCAACTTTAAAGTCACGTGGCTACGATTTCCACCACTTCCTACTTGGGGTTGGCAAGTTTCCACCACTTCCTACATTTAACATTTATGAACCATATATCAAAAACATTAATTTTTCTTGTATAGAAAATGATGAGAGGGAGACTTGAAAGTAAAGATTTATGGAGGATATCTCATCAGGG